AAATATTATTAGTAAAATATAAATAAAAAAATTATTTAACTTAAAAAAAAAAAAACCATTCTGTTTTCTTATTAAATCTCTTCATTTACAGGATCACTTTACTTAGTTACAGTACAGGATTTCCATCGAATTCTTCTCAAGTTATTCTCGATTCTCTCCTTAAAAAGATGCAATTTCAGACGAAAAAATTGAATATCAAAGCCAACAATCTAAAAAAATATTTGAATAAAAACTATAATTTAATTGGGAATTTTAATAATTGGGAATAAAATTTAAAAATTCAATTATAACTTAGATATTAATATAAAGAATGTTTGATAAATCAAAATCTTCAAATTTAACATGTTCGATAAGTTTCTAATACAAAAAAAAACAAGTTCAAAAATCATAACATGCTTAAAATTTTAAAGTATTTTTAAAGAATTTTTTTTAATACTGCAAAAATATTTTAAATCTGAAAAGAAAAATTCATATAGAACAATGTAAGATATTAAAAATTTGCAAAAGTAAATCTAGTTAGTTCTTGTAGATCTATAATCACGCAGAAAAAAAAAGACAAAGTTAAAACTCAACTCTCAAAACTCAATGCAAAATCCCCTAACACATGAAAATATTGCATGGATAGTTCTGACAAAATTCATGCAATTTTTTCTACCTTTTTTTTATTTTTTTTTTTCAATAATTTTTTTCGATCGGATTTTCCCAGATTTTTATAGACATATCAACATAAGATTTTAAAATATTCACTGAATCTCTTCTAAAATTAAAATAACTGAATCGGAAGTAGGACCTTGTCATATTATGAATCAAATATTAATAATAAACATTTAGTATTGCTCAAAACTATATGTGATAAAAATGATTTAAAACTTATTGGCACGATTTTCTTTAAAATAAAAATGAATAATAACTTTTAGAGTTGTAAAAAATGGGAGTAGTAAGTAAATTTTTATATACAATTTTTGACAAATCAATTTCATATTTTTAAGTTAAAAATATTTATTAGGTTATTTTTTAATAACATTAATCGTATGAAGTCTCATAATTATCGCCTTATAATTATAAAATGTTAATAATTGAAATATACAATATAATAAGCAAATGGTTTAGATTTACAAAGAAGAAGAATTCTTGTGTCTTACTTTTGCATTTTTTGTCTTTTGAATATTTATGAAATTTAACCTAGTTTTCAAGTTAATTAAAATATGAAAATAGACTAACTTTTAGACTCGTATCTTTTTTCTCCTTAAAAATAAATGCTATTCTGTTTTAAGAAATAAAAAAAATCTATTTTTAAATTTTACTGTATAAATTCAGTTTTATTTATTTTTAAAAATATAATTTAATTTTAATATGTAACATATTCCAAACGCACTCAAATTAAATATTTTTTAATGCCATATTTTATATTTTTGTATTATTTTTTATATTATATTATATGTATGAATATTTTACAATAAAAATATTTATGTAATAATTTTTTTTTGATTGATATTAATTAAAATATTTCAATTAATATTTTATATTAAAAAAGAATTTTAATTGTACTACATTTAATTTTTTAAATATAAGTTTTTAAAAGTCTAGATATAAAAACCTTAAATAACAACTTTTCTTTTTTAATTACTTAAGTAACAGACAAAATGGAACCTCATGCATACGGTTGTAATATTTAAAACAAAAAAAAAATTTAAATGCATTTATAAGTAAATTTTGAGATGCAAGAAAAAACATTCATAACTTTAAATGTAATAATTTTTGTAAAAACTTTAAACTTTTTTTATTTTCTTTTTATGGGTAAATTAATTAATTATGTTTAATATGATATGGTTTATATATATGTATGTTTATGTAATTGCTTTTATTTATTTTCCTTTTAAAATGTCACTTCAATTAATTTATTTTAATTAATTTTATTCGCATAAATGAATTAGTTTTTGGCTCTAACTTGTATAATTCTCAATGTTCAATAAAAAATCAAAATATAAATTCATTTTTGTTCAGTTTGTCAATATTTTCCACGTTACCCCATAAAAAATGTATTTTAAATAATTTTTCGAAGCAACTGTGTTCGATGTAACCGTAAAATCTGTGACAATATTCTGAATATTAGACATAACTGGGTTAATATACGTGTATATATATTTCAATAAAAATTGTATGAACTATGAACTAGAATTTTCTTTACTGAAAATACACAAAATTTGAATTTTATATTGCAGCATTTTGCAGGATTTAAATTTTAATATAAAAATATTTGTATAGATAAATGCCTTAAAATTTTCATATAAAAGAAATCTTTAAAGAATAATATAAAGTTGCATGAATAATATTTTTAATAGTATTTTTAAATTTCCACTCTCTTAACACAAGATTACAAACGCATATCATTTGATGTTCCATATTATTTGCACAATTAATACTACATTTTAAAAATTTCATTTGACTGTTATTTAAAATTTAAAAACCTCAATTTTATTGTCAATGATTAAACCAAATTAATTGTATATAACATTTTGTTTTTTTTTTTTTATTTAAAGTCATATATTATATATGAGGTTAATTTTTTGTTTTATTAAATTTAATAAACTTATATTTTATTAGAAAAAATTTGCAATATGTAATTTGATATAAAATTTCTTTAAACTTTTTTTATTTTCTTTTTATGGGTAAATTAATTAATTATGTTTAATATGATATGGTTTATATGTATGTATGTTTATGTAATTGCTTTTATTTATTTTCCTTTTAAAATATCACTTCAATTAATTTATTTTAATTAATTTTATTCGAATATAACAATATTATGTTCATAATTACTGTCTCATTCTATGAGTGATATTTCCAAAACAGGAATATTTGCTTGTAATTTTAATTTTAAAATAATTTTCTCGCCAAAAATATGATTATTAATTAATTAAAATTGAGCAATGTCATTATTAAAACTTTCATTTCCTAAAATTACAACCAATGTAGATAAAATTTTACTTGAGCAAATTAGAAATTAAGGGTTGTAAGTAAGTAAAACTCTTAAAAATTTTCATATTAAAGTATAAATTTTTTTGAAAAACTAATTAAAACAAAGAATTTACATTTTATTTTGTTTTTAATCTAAAACTACATACATAAATAAATTTAATTTTTGATAAAATTTGTTTAGTTAACAAAAAATTATATCAAGTTAATTAGAAAGATTAAACAAAAATATATAAAATGTGGCGAGATTTGTATACGTGTTAAAACTTAATTCTAATCTTATTTTATAATTCTAATAGTTTTCCTATATATATATATAAGAAAGATAACAATTTTAAAATTTATCATAAAATATATTACAATTTGAAAATTTACAAATACCAAAATGTGTATAAATATAATGCTTTATTTTCATTGATTAAATTTTTTTTTTTTGTATTTTAATTTCTTATTGTATTTAATTTATATTATTTTTAATATGTATTTCAAATCAACATAATTTACACTATTCTATATAGAATTTTTTGTGAAATGAAAGTGAATATCATCAATGAAATATAATTATTGAATTTCAGTTTATAAAAACTGGAATACAGAATTTAGTGCAACATACTATTATTTGTATATTAAATATTTTATAATAAATTAAAAAATCTAATTGAAAAAATAACTCTATAATGAGACCACTAATAATATTATAGGTTAATTATCACTCAAAGGTTTTTTTTTTTTTGCCACAAATAAATAGGACGAGAATTTCAATTTTATTATAAACGAATTATTACAAAAGTAAAATAAAAAATAAAGAAACAAAAATATTTTTATAGGGAAAAAAAAGTTTTAAAACAAAATATAAAAAATTTTATATGTAATTTAATTAAAGCCCAATTAATATTATAAAAAACAAATTTTACATTAAACTATACAGTTTTTATTAATTTAATTAAATTTGAAACAAAAAAATATAATTTTCAAACAAGATTGTTTAAATGATTGTATTTTAATTTATCTATAATAATTGCATCAATTTAGAATTTATAATGAAAAACAAAAATATTTTACAAAACACAAAACAAAAATATATATAATTTTTAATTGAAATTTGGCACATTTCTTTTATGAAACCAAAAATTATTTACATAAAAACACATAATAAATATTACACATCAATTATATATCGCAAAATAAAATGCTTGGAAGATACTTATTATTAAAGCCAAGTGGTGATATAACTTAATTTTTATTTATTAATAAGATCGGTTACCCATATATACACAAATTATATTTTGCAGGAAAAAAACAAAAAACAAATATTAAAATAAGTTTTCATAATAACTAGAAATATTTAGTTATAAGATACATATTTTAAGTTTAGATATGTGTGTATTATTCTTGAAGGAGTTTAGTATAAAAAATTTATTTTTGGGCCAAAAGTAAATTGAAAATTAAATAACTATTTAAAAACAAAATTAATTTTATAAAATAAACCTGAATTTGTGTAATATATAAAAATTTAATGTCTATATAGGTAATATATTCCGAAAATATTTTAAATATAAATAAAGTTAATATTTTTCTTGAGAATTTTTTTTCCTAATTAAATAATAATTAAACAATATTTTCTCAAAATTTCTTAACAACTTTTATATTTTAATATTTTTTTTTTCAAAAATTATTCTCAATACCACACAATACTTGCACTAGTCTTATTTATAAGAATATCAAAAAAAATTAATATATTTTAATCTAAAAAAAGAAAATTATGACTATAATTAAAATTTACAATCAACCTAAATTACAAATATTTTTTTTTCATTTTTTTTTTTTTATTTTTACTATCAAATACATAAATGTCAATACGTTTTTTATACTTATAAATTACAATTTATCATAATAGAATTACAAAAACATATTTATTCTTAACTAAAGAAAATCACAACATTCGATTAATTATTTAATTAATAAAATGAAAACTAAAACTGACTTAGTAAATAAAATATTTTTTTTTTTTTTAATTTTAATTAGATATTACAAAAAAAAAACTAAATTTTACTTAAATTTTTATTATCAGTTCTATAATTTTTACCTTTTTGCAAATATTTATTTTTATTATTACACATAAATTATCAATTATTGAATATTAGCAAAAAGAGAAATCCTGCTCATAATTTTCTTTTAATAGTAAATTTCTTTTAAATATTTATAATCAATGTTTAGATTTTTTTTTTTATTTATTAATTCGAGTTGTTTCACTGGTTGAGCTATTATCAGAATCAGTGACAGCATTATTTAATGATGGTTTTAAATTAGAGTTCGAATCCAAATCATCGTCCTCTTCAGTTGTAGCTAAAAGAACATTTAATGGTTTTTGAGCAAGATTACTTGGTTTTTCTTCAGTTGTAGTATTCAAATTTAAAATTGTATCATTCATTTGATGATAGTGTGGTTTAAATGAACTACTTGGCCTTGAATAATCTAGATGGTCATATTCATCTAAAATTTATAAAATACAAATGAAAATATTTATTTTATTGAATATTTGAAATAGAATTTTAATAATCAAAAATTAAATAAACAACTACAAATACGTTTAACACAAAAATAAAATAATATAATATTGTAATGTTTAAAAACAAAATGTTTAAGCTAATTCAATACACAAGTAAAGGTTTATTTTTCACAATATTGTTAAAAAATTTACAAATAAAATTTATTATTAATGAATTTTACAATACTTGATGTTTTTCTCAACTCAAAATAAATAGAAATGGTTTTAAACATTTCATTAAATTTTATAGTCTGATGTATCGTTGGAATATTTTGAATTTCTTCAAATACGAGTACCAAATTATTCATTTAGAAATTATTTATTTTTGAAATAAGTGCTTCGAAAGCAATAATACTGGCAGGTAATAAAAACAAAGCAAGGTATTTCTTAAGAAGTTGTTCAAGGTATTTTTTAAGAACTATTGTAAATTCTTTTTAATAAAAATTAAACTAAAATAAGCGAAATATAATGATTAATGAATATAACTTTATGAAATAGATAACAAAATAAACATTTAATCAACACTCTCTAACATATATCTTACCATTGTTTGGAAAAATATTTTTTTGGAAATCCTTAACTATTCCAATTTAAAAAAAAAATAAATAAATTAAACCAATTTCAAAATTCCGTCCCCAAAACCAAAACTATATTTCGAATTATCAATAACCAAACTAAATTACCTGGATCTTTATATCCCTCTTTATGTTTTATTTCATCATAAACATGTTCCTCTTTATCTATACAATGATATACATTTGGATTAGTCATATCAGCATGTAAATTTTTCATGCATGTCTCACTATTATAATTTAAAGAATAACTTCCAGCTAAAATATTATTAAAAATTTTCATATTATATTTTTCTTTTTTTTTTTCATATATAATTTCAACTTTACCTTTTCCATTAGCATTTGAATTATCACCATTATATTCTGGATCAGTAACATTTAAATTATTCATTTTACCATTTTGTTTAAGATTATTTAATAATCGAGTATTATCTTGACCCTGGAATCCATAAACAGGATTATCAAAATTATGATTTCTTTCTGGATATAATTGAGCTTCTGTTATATATTGTACATGAGCAATTTCTGTTTTTAAATTTGATACTCTTCGACGATAATATAAAAGAACTGCTAAAATTACTGCAATTAATAATATGACAATTGCTACACCCCATGCTAAACCAGCTTTTGTTGCTAAAATGAAACCAAAATATATTAATAAATTCTTTTGAAAATTTATTTTAATATAAGAAATAAATTTATAAAAAGAAATGGAGAAAATAATAAATTAATTAAAATATAAATTTTTAGCTTACACATTTTATACATTTTATATGAACATTGAAACAAAACTTGTACATTAAAAAATAAGAACCTAATATAATAAAATATTTACAAATACACAATATCTAAACAAAATTTACAATAATATTAAAAAAGAAATTAAAGTTTCCGATAACGATCAGAATATCGAAAAGAACCAACTTTGAAAAGAACACAAATTTCGATTAACTTAAGAAAACAGAGTTATAGAAAATTATAAGTATAAATTACATATTATAAAAAAATCAAATTTTATAAAGTGCAACTTTTATTATATAATCAAAAAATTGAAAAAACTAAAAGATTTAAACATTTTACAGTATTTAAACTTTAATATCGATTTTACCTTTTCCATTTGATTCTAAATTATTTCGATTAATTGATGCTGCTGATGGTAGCATGACTAAGAAAATAAATTAACTTAAATTTCATCTATTTTATTACAGAAGCTAATGATAATTAATCGAATATTACAAATTATATTTCAAAAATTAGAGAATAGAATTATTACAATCTAATTGATTTTATTTTTAATATTTTTATTAATTAAAATATTATAAAAGAGTAAAAATTAGAACATTTTGTGCATACAATTGACTTCTATAAATTTCTTGCTTCGGTAACAATGAAAATTTATTTGTTAACTTAATATTGTAGAAAATGTGGTATGCAAAATGTATATTTGATCGAAAATTTATTGAAAAGTGAATAGTTAATGCCTGGTCATTTTTGAAATACACAATTATCTAACTAAAATTCTTGTACTTTACTTAAATATTTTTGACTTTAAAATAATCGCCTATTCAAAACTTTACAATTCAAAAACCTAATCAAAACTTTTAAATTATTGTCACACTATATAAAAATTAATGTAATAAGATTTTATTTGTATACAAAATTCGATAAGCTTCTAATACATTATTGACAAAAGCTTGTAAACATTTTAATATAAAACAAACTAAAACAAATATTCTGAAAAATATTTTATTAATTCTTATTTTACATAAGATTTTCTAAATTTATACAATTTTGGACAATAAATCAAAGCAAAGAAGTAGACATGCCAATGAATATAATATTGTAATGATTATAATGGTAGTTGATGAGAAATGAATTAATATAATACTCGGAGTTGATAAGATGAAGTTCAGATTATTTACAATAAAATACTTGTAATATTTTTTTCTACAAACTACAAGTATATCCAAAACAGCATTATGACAATGAATAATTCAAAACACGAATTACTAAAATTAAATGATTTTCTTGTATAATTTAAAATTATTTTTTATAAAAATAAAATTTCAGTGGCAGCATAATTTTATTCTAACAATTCATTTGCAATGAAAAATGGAGAGTATTTTTACATCTCATGATAAATAAATAAAACATGTAAATGAAAATGTGATGTGGTTTCTTTTGTAAAAACTACTTTAAATTTCAATATTTGTGAATAAATTTTTTGGATCTTAAAATAAAATTAAGTTATGAAATTGGATATTAAAAGGAGAAAATGTATCAGGTATATGTAAACTATATAGTTTCTAAATGTAGTTTTAATGCAAATGAAAACCTTAACATATCAAAAATCTTTTCGATTTGAAATCAAATTTGGGAATATTTTTAATATTTTTCCATATTTTGTACTTAGATATTTAGAATCATAAATGCATATACATATGTACATATGTACATATGTATATTCAGTTACTTAAAATTAAGTCTGGCGACAATGATTTATACTTACAGTCAGAGCTTTCTTCAATTCTGTGTAATGATATTAAAACATCACAATTTGAGCCAGTATATCCTTGACGGCAAACACATCCTTGGGCAGCATGACATACGAAATTTTCATTTGGACAATTGCATAATTCCATACAATGTAAACCATAAAATCCTTCAGGGCATACTAAAAATTCAAAATTTAAAAAGTTAGTTTTTTTTTGTCAAAATTTTCAATTTTTTTTTTTTAAAATACCTATACGTATGTATGTAGTATATCAAAAAAAATTCTAATTTTCTAAAATAATTTTAAATTTTGTCTCATTGCTTTTGAAAATGTCAAAAGGAACAACAATAAAAGAAGCTTTAAAAAAATGGGAAGAGATTAATAAAAAAAATCCAACTGAATCCGATATTATTGAATTGCAATTTCAATTTCCGCCAATCGAAAAAATGGACTCAACTTTGGGAACTTTAATAAATTGCAAGTAAGTTTCGCTAAATAAATTAATTTACAATATTACAATATTAAGTAATATTTAATTTTTATAGAAAATTAAGTTTATCGACTAATATGATTGAAAAGATATCTGGAATTGCACCATTAAAAAATTTAAAAATATTATCTTTGGCACGTAATAACATCAAAAATTTAAATGGAATTGTATGTAATGAAATTTAAAAATTTTATTTAAGCAGCTAAAATTTTTGTTTTCATTGAAAGGAAGTATTGGGAGAAACATTAGAAGAATTATGGATAAGTTATAATTTGATTGAGAAACTAAGCTTAATCGAACAAATGAAAGCTCTCAAAGTATTTTATATTGGACACAATATGGTAAAAGATTGGAATGAGCTATCAAAAATCAATAATGCACAAAAAATTGAAGATTTTGTTTTTGCCGGTAATCCAATTGTTGAAGCTTTAGATGAAAATGAGTATAGAAATGAAATTATGAAAATATTAATTTATATTAAAAAACTGGATGGCGTTCCATGTATTCGATAAAATTTGCGGGGAATCGGATTGCAAGTCTTTTACATTTTAATTAAGTAGTTTTCGTAATTCATTTGCAATTTTAAATTTAATAAATGAATATAATCGTATTCAATAATTTTTTCGTCATACTTTTTAATTAACACACGTTAAGTTAAATTTCTTGTTTGGGACTTCTGTCATTTTTTATTTTTAGTTTACCTTCATCACATGTTGTTCCCATCCAACCTGGTAAACAGATACAATGACCATCATTCTTTCTACATTGTTTAGAATGTTGACATCTACAACGTTGAGCACAATTTGGTCCATACATATCGTCAGGACATGATTCATTACAATTTCGGCCAGACCATCCGGGACGGCACTGACAATCTCCTGTTATATGATTACATTCACCTCCATGTTCACAATTACATTTTTTCGAACAATCTTGACCATATCTTCCTTCTGGACATGGATGTTCACATGTCATACCAATATATCCTGGCAAGCAAACATATTTTCCGGTAATATGATCACATGTTTTATTTTCTTCTACAATAAAAACGCAAAATATAATATTAATATATTAATCACATATTATTTATGTATATATATAAAAAAAATCAATTATCTTAAATTATATACCTCCATGTCCAATTGGTTGACAAACTTCTCTACAACCAGTTCCAAAGAAACCTTTTGGACAAGGTTCTGAACAATTGATACCAGTCCAACCTCTTGCACATACACAATCTCCAGTTACAGAATCACATGATGAATTATTCAAACAATTGCACTCAAGTTCACATTTATTGCCATAATATCCGGGAGCACATTGTGTTTCACAATTGACACCTAAAAAATTTCAATAATTATTAAAAAAAAATATTCTTTAAATATTTAAAAAATTGAGGAAGTTTCTATAAGAGTTACCCAAATCCACTGGATATAATGTTAAATATTGGAAAATAATGAAATTAAAAAGAAAAATATAATTTAAATTGATAAAAGGATTCTAGAGAACAATACAGTGAAATAATGGATACGTCTGATGGAATAATAAAAATTATAAATGTAAAATTTTAGAATAATTTAGAAAATTTTTTCAAAATTTCGTATTAACTAATAAAACCGGAAAAAATTATGTAGACCGTGTTCCTTTTTGCGAAAGCTAAAATCATGCTATTAAAATTTGTTTTCTACTTTAAATTTCAACTACGCTCAAATTATTTCAACTAAAAAAAAACATGCAAGTTTTAGTTATATTTTATATAAATTTTCAACTAGAATACTTAAGCGATTATTAAAATGAAGTTTTGCAAGATATTTGAGATTTTAGTATACAAAAATATTAATTATAGACTAAACAATCAAAGATATTGGACGAAATATATTGGAATCTATTAGGAATAAAAAATGAAAGTTTGGCTACACAAAAAGCGTAACCGTAAAAGCTACTTTTCTAAAAATAATAGCGTAATTGAATGCGGAAACATGCAATACTAACAAGTATACAAGAAATATGCATAAAAATATCTATTGTTGCTTGAGAATTGTAATGAGATGAATATATGTGAAAAATTAAATTAAAATACTAAAACTAAAGTTTTACCTCCCCAATCGTTTTTGCATGTACAATGCCCATCAACAGCATCACATGCAACAGTATTACTTTCAATGCATTCACATTTTTGAGTACAATTTTGTCCAAATGTATTCGGTTCACATTTTTTCTCACATTTTTCACCGGTCCAGCCGGGTCTACATGTACATGACCCTATTGTATATATTTATTTTATACCAATATCAATTTAGAATGAAGCAAAATAAAAGGTAAACAAAAAAGAATGAAGGCATTTAACTTTCTGTTTTAGCAACTTAAAAAAAAAATTCTAATTATAATACCATTTTGTGGATTGCAAGAAGCATCATTTTTACAATCACATAGTTGATTACAATCCTTTCCGTAGTGATTTTCATCACAAGGACGATCACATTTTGTATTCTTCCAGCCTGGACTACAAAAACATTGTCCAGTTTCGGATGAACAAGTAGCATCATTAGCACAATTACATTTTTCAGCACAATTTTGACCAAATGTACCCTGGGGACATGGTTCTTCACACTGAGAACCACGCCATCCAGGCGCACAGAAACATGTACCATTAACAGCAGAACATTTAGCATTATTTTTACACTCACATGATAATTCACAATTTTTGCCATATTTAAGGAATGGACATGGTCGATTACATTCTTCACTGGTCCAACCAGGTTTACATGTACATTTTCCAGTATATGGATGACATGATTCTGTATGATCCATTTCACAAATACATGATTTTGTACAATTTTCACCAAATTTATCGTCAGGACATATTCTGTCAGAACAAATAACACCTTCCCATCCCAAAGAGCATTCACATTCTCCTGTTGAATGATCACACTTAGCACCATTTTCACATCGACATTCTTCACTACAATTTAATCCAAAATAATTTGTTGGGCACATATCAAGGCATTTTTCACCAATGAAACCAGGTGCACATTCACATTTTCCAGTAATATGATGACAATGAGCACCATTATAACATTCACATTGTTGTTCACAATTAATTCCATATTGTCCTGGTGGGCATCTATTTGCACATACTTCACCAATCCAACCAGCAGTACATTCACATTTACCAGTTGATGGTTCACATTTTCCATCATTTTGACATCGACATTCTTGACTGCATTCAGCACCATGTGTACCTTCCGGGCATTTATCATGGCATCTAAATATTTTTATATATAGATAATAATTTTCATTCACAAATTTATAATATAATTATCAATGAGTTTTTAGTTAAGAGTGAAAATGTACAAAATGCTTTAGTCATTTTATTATTATTATGATTATTAAATGAACTTTAATTGATTTTTAAGACCGGTCTTATATTAAAATTAAATAATTTATCAAAATACACTATCAATTTTAAGAATCATATTTTCCCCTTATAATTTGTTATAATTTAACTTACAGTGGTCCTGTATAGCCAGGAGCACAACGACATTCTCCAGATACATGATGACATATTCCATCATTTTCACAACGACAATCCTCATTACAATCTTGACCATATTTGTTTGGTGGGCATTTATTTTCACATTTATCACCAATATAACCTTTTTTACATATACATTGTCCAGTATAAGCTTCACATGTTCCATCATTTTTACAATCACATTGTTCTTCACAATTTCTACCCCATCTACCAGCTGGACAGTCTATAATATCAATTTTATTAAATATGATTTAATTACGAGCTATTAATTTTTTAATTATTATTAAAAGTGAATTTCAATTCCCAACAAGCCACACACACATTGGACATTTTTTTTTTTTTTTAAAATATAGTTTCAAAAAAAACAGCAGTTACAAAAAAACAGCAGATAAACCCCCAAAAGACTTTTTGTTTCCATATAGGTAAATTTACTTACACACAAAATTATTACACTTATGTACATATTTTCTCATAAATTGATTTTGTTTAAATATTAATTAATAATTAAAAATAAAAATTTCTAAAACAATGTGAACTACATATTAAAAATTATGTTAGTAACTATTGTTATACTTACAATTAATTGAGTTGTGACTAGACAAATTTTGGTATAACAATTAATAATAAACTGTACTACTGTGTTTAACAAGATTTTTAAGTGCATAAACTAATTCTAATTTTTATAACTAGCTATTGTGAATTATTTGTTTTTTATAAGCAATATTAGTGAAATTCACTGTATATTTCTCTTTTGATATAATAAAATGATAATAGGAAATATTAACAGAAATGTTATATCAAACAAATAATTTTAAAATTTAAAAATACATAAATCGCCATAAACATAATGATAAAATAGATTATTTTACGTAAATTCTACAAAAAATATGATTATGTAGGAATAGGAAATAAAAATGACAATCGGAACGTGAATTTTGACATGATCGATGTAGGAAATAATTTGCATTATAAAAACATGCCATTGTATTAACTACATTATTGAATCCATTTTAAATAGTTGAAATCTTAGATTTCAAATCAAATTTAGTAATTGAAAATTTCCTATTTTAAAATTTAAAATTCCAAAAGCCTCTTCTAAATCTTAAAATCTAGAAATATATTATAAATTTTCTGATTATAACATATCGGAAACTTTAAAATTAATCAGGAATATTGATATTATATTAGGAATATAATTATTTCAAATATACATTTGCATTTATTATGTTTAAGGCATTCAATAAAAAATTAACTTTACAAAATTAAATATTTTAATTGAAAACTCATTTAAATTAAAAAAAAAGAAATGTACTACTGCTTTTCTAAATCCATTTACATATAATTAGTATAAACACTCTTTAAAAAGTAAAAACAAAAAAATCTTAAAACTAAAAATATAAAAAAATTAAAACAAAAAAACATTTAACCCCGCGTGAAATAACACAAAAAACCAAATTGTAAGACTTACTTATATCACAAGCTGGTCCACCATATCCATGTTCACATTTACATACTTCTGGTGCAACACATTTTCCAAATTGACATTTAACAGAACAATATGGTACACATTGACTTTTCTCTTTAATATAGCCATCTAAAATAAATAATATATTTTAAGTATTAATTGATTTTGAATATTTTTAATTAATTTTAAATATTTTCGATTTGATTTTTGAAAGAAAGAGAATTATGCCAATAAGTCCTCTCTAATTGCACTTAAATATTATTTTAAAATTAAATATGCATTAAATTGTCAAAATTAAATCAAAATCTTGTACAATAATATTTGAACATTTAATAATTTTATTAATTTTGTTATGTCAAGTAATCATTTATTACAATTTTAGGAAGTCTTATTCAATTTGAGTAATAGCAATAATTAAATGATTATCTTTAAATAAAAGTTAAATTGAGTTTATTTTTGAAATGTCAAATTTCTGTATTGTGAATGTTTAATCTCTAACGTAGACGTTTGTCTATTCATTTGACTTTGAAGTTTGTCGGATTTTTATGATAAATTTGACGTAAAGATCCAAAAACTTGAACCAAAACGAATGTAACGATAACATTTAATTTTATTATTTTAATCTACATTAATTTTAATTAAAGGAACAAAAAAAAATTTACCACAACAAACTTTCACTACACGCGTTTTCTCTAATATTTGCGTTTTATTAACTGTTCTCTGTTTTAATTTATAACTAGAACATCTTGGTGGAAAACTAAAACACCAAACGTTTACTCTTTCTTGATATGATTGTTTTTCGGTCGTAATTACTTCTACATTGTACCTAAAATTTAAGAAAAATATATTTATTAATGTTATGATAAATGAGATTATAATAATTTTTACTGGCTTATAAATTATAGTTAAATACATTTAACTTACTTTTCAACTTTTTTACAAACATGCGGACCATCTAAATCTTCATATTCAACTGTTTGGCTGGCAACAAATGTTGTTGATATCACAGTGAAAATACAAAATATATAAATTAAATTTACTAGAATATTTTGCTCCATTTTTATTTCTCTCATTTTAAAATTATTTTAAATTTTTTTATTTATTTATATTATTTATTTTCAAATTGAATTATTCAATTGTAAAGTATATAAAAATTTTGGCTTTAAATTATTCGTTTTGTATCCATTACTGTTTATAACTTCTAAATACGAAATCAAGCAGTTTTGGCAATATTCTTTTGTTTTCTCATATATGTTAGATAGCAATTGGGATTAAAACCAAATAATAAGAACAAAATACTGGTCCAAAAACTTATTTAACAAGGTACTGTTGAATATATGTATGTATGAATGTATAAATTATTTTATTAACAAGATAAGATTATAATTTATTAATCTGGCAATAAGTAATTTTTCGAATTTTTATATTATCAGTAATATTTTTTTCCAATATTTTTTCAATACATTTTGTTTTATTTGATTATTTTTGACCCCCTCTTCTCTAATGATTCATCAAATTATTTAATCAATGATGAAAGATCTGAAATAGAAATTAAGAAGAAAAAAACATAAATTATAATCGTAATTTTTACAAATAATTTAAATTTTTTTTATACGACAGTATTTAATTTTAACAGATTAAAAAAATAAATTTTAATTTTCTTTTTTTATTATAAATAATTTTCTATGTAAAAATCTTGACCTTTTTTCTATTTAATCTTAAAAAAAATTAAAAAATTAATAATATTCATAAAAGTATTAAAATAATCATAAAAATTTCTTTTAAATTATTTTGGTGTAAAGTACTTCCACATAAGTATGTAAAATAGCGCAAATCTGTGTCATTTACTTATTTTGAATGATAACTGAATTTGTCATTTATTTCTTGTTTACAATAATTTTGATTTTCATAGCTTAAAATATTTGACACTTCTTTGTACAGTTCAAACGAAATTAATTAAGAATAGCACAATCTTTGAGAGGCGAAATTACAAGTAATTTTCACATTTTTCTTATCATTTTCCATTAATTAAAAGATTTCTAATAATGACAACTTCTTTCAATTTCAAAATAAATAAATTTTTCCATTTGCTTAAGCAAAACTAGATACATAAAACTTTAAACCAAAAAACCTATTATCAAATGAGGCATTGCCAAATTCAGAAAGATCAGAAATGTTCCAAATTGTCGAAAAAAAATTTTTACGACTTTCTTGCTTTACCACTTTTTTTTCGTCTTTTCATAATTAAATACTTTTTTCGGGAATTTTAACTTCACGTTTTCTTCCAGGTTTTGGGGTCTTACAGAATCTGGCTTTACACAGGTTTACTGTAATTACTTTGCATTTCATTTTTCGGAAAAAAACTTAACGAAAGTTAATAAGATTATGAGAAATTTAAACTTGAAACCGAGTTCAATTTCGTAACTCTTAATTTTATTCAAAATCCCAATTTACTTCTATTAAACTATTTTGAACTAAGTAATGGCCTTTAAAAATCTTATCTACTTTTGTTTTTTTATTATTCATTTTGACTTAGAAATGTTATTGTTTAAAAATTTACTTTTAAAACGATTTTAGTTATCCCATGCACTTTATCAAACTGTTTATATTTTTATTTTTTCTTCAAAGTCTTGTAAAAACATTTGATATTTTGATATTTATATTTGCGATAAGATAAAAAAATTAATTTTTAAAATATAAAATTTAACATTTTAAATACAATTCTTATGCTGATAAAGTCTAAAAATTGTAGAAATAACGTAGCACGTACATACATAAAATAAAATTGAAAAGGGTCATTTGAAATTTTTTTTTAATTTCATTCTTTTTGCAGAGCTCACATTTTATTTTAAGTACTTGCACATGAAATTTCAAAATTATTTTAATAAATAATAATAATAATTATTACTTACAAATAAATAAATAAAAAAATTTTGTTAAACATTCAGTAAATACAATTGTGATAATATAAAAGTATGTACTGTTTTGTAAATAACATAAATAAGGGAAACAGAAATTGAATGCAAATATAGAATTTTAGTTTTAATACAAAAATTAGATAATATTTAAATAACTTTAAATAATATTGGTAAAATATTAAGAAATCACGTTTTTGATCAGCCATATTGAAATGATTACAATAATACAAATATGTGTATGTGAGAAGAGCTACATGTCATAATGACATTTTAATAGATTTTGTTTTGAGATTATGTTTAAAACAACTATTATGTTTAGTTAAAATCTCTAAGCTAAATTATCTCTAAACTTATTATTAAATACAATATTATTATACCCCTATTAAGATTGGCAAAGCGAATGGCTTAGCGAATCGGATAAACTAAGCGAATTGGCAAATGATTTTGTTCGCGAGGTTCAAAATGTTGCTAGCTCAACTTATTAAAATATGGTATTATCATAAACTAAAAAAAAACCATAACATTCGAGAGTTTGAAAAGCTCATTTATTTAAAATTTTTGGCGAATTCGCCGATTATAATATTGAAAATTCATATTCGACAAAAATATCATTCGCTTCGCATTTTATGATATTATATATCACAGGTTCCCATACAGAACCCCTCTTTGATAGATTTAAATTTCTAACAGTAGCAAGGTACATCTATGATGTGAGAAAGTTAAATAAAAAAAACTTATTCAATTAAATTCATATTTTTTCGTAGACCCCTAGCAGATCTTCATAGACCCCTGCGGGTATATATATGTATACCATTTTAAGAATCATTGATATATATCAACAATAATAACAGCGACATCTATTTCGAAAAAGTTGAGCCATATTTACATATTTACATTAATGAAATCATGTAATTAGAATATAAATCCCATGTAATTAGAATATAAAAATATGACAAAACAAGCAAAATTGGTGTAAAACTAATTCCAATTTTCATACTTCGGCCATAATTACTTAGCTATTTAAAAAATTACTTAAAATTCTGTTTAAGTTTGACAAAAAAAAAGGGTAAATTCCCGAAATTGCAATTTTTCAATATGATGATTTTAATATTTTCAACTCAAATCATTTAGAATTTTGACATAATAAATGCCAAATGTTCTTTACTATAAATAGTAAAGTATCCAAATTAAATTTTCCAAGAATAAATATGTAGGTAAATAACTATATTGATAATATTGATATTTTTGGTAAGATATTTGGTAAACGTGATATTTTTATAATTATTTATCCTTTGATTGGCAAGAAATAAATTAAACTGTTTATATTAAATATTTAATAAAATTAGTATAAATAAACTTTTTTCCACTATAAACAAGATAACAAAAATGTGTTTTTATTTTACACTAAATAAAATTCAAACTTTTTTTTTTTAAATTTTTAATGCCTTTGTATAATCTAGACATATTGGCACATTGTATAAAGAAAATTTATAATAAAAAATATAAGCTATTTTAAGTTCAAATGTGTATTATTTTGGGATTTCCCATTTTCGAAATTAAATGTGTTTATCAGAAATAATGGAAAATTAATATGTTTATCAAATATACTGACCTGTAATTTAATAATATAATGTACGAAGTTTTTACCATTTATTGTTTATCGTAATTTATATTATAATTTCGATTAATTTTTAAATACGAAATAATTAAATTTTTGAACTTAAAATTTTGCGTACATATACGAATTCTTGACTATAATAAATTCTATATTTTATAAAATTCTACTTATTGAAAAATATCAAATTCGAATTCGAATTGTTTGCGAATCAAATTGATCCAAGTAAATAGTTGAGCATTTAAGGAATAAAAATGAAATTGAAGAATAAAAATGGTTAAAAATTGTTATAAATAATTTCAAAGATTTGCTAAAGAAACGGAGAAAAATAATATTATTTTCATAATTGTATAACACTTTACTTCCTTTTGATGTTCAAAATAAAATTTTTGTTTTTATTTAATCAGCTTTTTTTTTTTTGAAAATTCAAAAATAATTATTTTTAATTCAAAAACAACAATAAAAATATGCTTAATTTAATCACACTCTTAATGAATGCTCACATAGGTGAGTGAACGTACAATGTAAAATTTAATTTTTTTTTTGTGAATTTTTTTTGAATATTGCTTAATTAGCACATTATTAAAAACATTCAAATTTTTTTTAATTAATAATTTTTTTTATTACTTGCAGAAATATTGCCAGACTATACTTAGTCAATTCCAAAAGTTTTCATTTAAAATATTAATCTATACTCTGAAATTTAGGTTACAGTCAGATTATATACCAAATGACAGAAAATTTCTAATATTCTCCGCTGCAATTAATCCTATATTAATTACATACATCATATGTGATTGTGCATGTGTCATTAGTGTTTCGTTTTATTGACTTCGTTGAAATTGAAATAGTAATATTTTGTTTTCCAGTTTTTCTGATTAAATATCAATTGAAACTGAAAGCCTCGATGAGTTAGTGAGGCTCAAATGAACATTTGATGAACTTTTTTCATCAAATGTTCGAAATTAAAAAAATGAAGATATTTGGGCTAATTTATTTGGCGGCGCTGGTTCCAATACACGTCCGTTATTTTATTTTTCTTTCCAAAGGTTAAAAAAAAAAGGTATTAGACTTCAAATTTTAGAGAATTTAAGATAAAAACAAACTTTTTTCGGTATGCGATTGCTTTTTTTTTTTACAAAAAATGCAAAATTTCAATAAAATAATTTGCGAAAAAAAGTTTCTTTACAACAAATGAACGTCATAGAACGAAAGCAAATAAAGAAACAGCAATGAAGAAATTTATAGAATTATAGCAAATTAACGTCAAACCAATAAAAGTCAAAGTAATGTAGTTATGTCCTTATTTACATTTTTACAAAAGATATTTACATCTTTATCAAAAAAATATTTGCATTTCTATCGAGTGTGTATACGAAACTTCTGGAACCGCCTGCATATTTAAAGAAAAAAAAAAGCTTAAAAATAATTGATTAAATCGCTATTATACTGCTAAATTTTTTGTTTTGTATTAAAATTTTACACAACACAATGTAATAAATTCAATATAAAAAAATTTTGAAACAATAAAATTATGAATACATTAAATAATATTGTATGTACATTTGTATGAACACCAACTATTTGTACATATACATATACAAATATTTCAAAGAAAATATCTCATTTACATACATACACTATATAGATGCGTGAGATTTTTTAAAAAGAAAATGACTGACTTTTCTCTTGACATCACAATTATCGAGTAGGAACAATATTAAAAAAATTATGAAACTTGCATATTAATAAAATTACCTTTAGCTTTTTATTTTAATTTCAATCATAAATACCTATAGGTATACATACTTAGTTCATTCATATATATGTGATTTTATCTGATAGAAGCTGAATTAAGTGATATTCAAATGGGAAAACATACATACATACATAACATGTGCAATAATGCAATACTTATTTTTGACATAAAATTTTGTAATAAAAAGGTTTTTGACATTCGTTTTAAAAAAATTTTTAACATCCTCATCAGATAAAATCGTATGTAC